GTATTTTTTGTAAAATAATATACTTATTGTTAAATAAATAATACAGAGATATAACTTACTTTGTGAAATTTAAATTAAAAGTTATTATTAGACTAAATTAATATACTGTAAAAGCATTTTTAAAAAGTATGTGCTTTATAATATAAACGCGAGCTTAGTACACTAACAAGAAAAATATACCGGAAGTCTTTAATATCTCTGTCAGATTCACACTTTTTCTCCTCAGGAAATTTTCTCTTCAGGAAATATGGCACAGCAACTATTGCCATATAAACTTCAACCTCCAAAGAACTTGTCTGCATTACATAAAACAAGTGTCGAGCTTGGTAGGTGACTGATGTCAAGAAGCTAATATAAGATGTCTAGTTAATAAAAGCTGCTGTAAAAGTTCTAAAAGTTTTAACATTTGCAGTGGCTGTTTCATAAGGGCTTGATCCCTATAAAATTCTAAATTTGATCTAAATTATTAAACAACGGTTAATTTTTATTCTTTTGTAGGATATCCCGATTTTTATCCTCCAAAACCAGGTCAAGATGAAGACCAAATGACTGAGGAGAATGTACAACAAGGTTTCACTGGCGCTCCCTTTGTGGTACGAGAGTCTATCTCCGCACAGGATATGATGTTGGATGATATAAGAGACCCAAAAGGTCTTGAGAATCTCGGGGAGTTCATGACTGACATAATGAGACGTAAACATCAGATTAACACTTTTGAAGAGTAAGCATTTTTTATAATAAGTTGTTTATAATATGTCTAATGCTAATAGCATTTTTATTTTTTCGCCGCCATAGATCTTCTCCATACACTGTACCACAAATAGTTTGGATGTCTGCCGAAAGTAGAGATGAATGGTTAAGGAAGCTGGCTGGCAATAGTCCACTTAAAGAATTGGCAAAGAGTGTTCCGAGAGTGTATGAAAGTTCACAGTATGTATTCCATGGATACTTGTGTAGTTTATTATATTAATTCAGCCTTGGCATTTAATCCGTTACAGTGTCGAAGGAGTAACTTTGCTGGAGCTTGTTACTCAACATAGAGTTCCTCTTGCACGTGCTACTTGGTTTACCAAGATAGTGGGGATTAATTTAATTAATTCAAGAACAACTGTAGGCTAATTATTTATATTGTTTAGAGTCTATTTCTATCTATTCCCAATTTTTACTTACATATATCAATTTAAAACATGTTTATTATTGACATCATTAGCATCAAGACAATTCTAACAATGCTACGCAAGAGCACAAAAAAAATTGGAATGCAACATTTCACACCTTTATTCAAAAACAAGGTCGTGATTATGATCCTGATAAGTGGCGATATAGGCATGTGAATTCATAGACTAACAAATTCTGTTTATTATTTATTATTGAATATGTTATCGATTGAAAATGTTAGTAAATATATTTACCTTTATTTTCGTATTTTTTCGTATTTAGTATATTGCTAGCAAAATGGCAGTTTGATGACGGATTACTTGATCAACGAATTCTTAGAGCGACACTAGACAGTTTGGATAGGGCTGATCATTTAAACACCATTATTTGGTTGTGGTTTGTTCAACAATTCTTGGAGGAGTTTCAACGATCCCGAACGTTAATGAGGTTATTGATAGAAATTATCTTAAAGAAATTACAAGATGTAAGCTGTTTGTTTCCTTGCTTCTGACATTATTTGAAAACGTAATTAAAAAATTGTTGATATGTATTTTAGATATACCAACACCCTGCAATTATTCCAAAGCTCGATATTGTCATAAAGATGCTGAAGAATATGCTACAAGTATGAATGCTTATATTTTATTATAGTTAGTTTACTCGCTTTATGATCAAAATATAAATATATTATTGTTTGCTGCTATAGACACTTTTTCTAGCCACTCCTGATATGTTTGTGTTTCCTCTTTGTTGGAACACATACAAAGACCTCTTGCGATGTGTTTTTGTTGAAGATAGTTCTGTTAAATCAGATACTGCTATACCAAAAAATATGAAACGACAAATGGAAAGATATTACGAATTGATACGTGCTAGGAATGAGGTATTTGATAAAGAAAAACCAGACATGATCGGGAAAAGAAATGCACAAGAATTACAACAATCTAGGATAATTGATGTAGGTGTATTAACATTAGTGGTGTGGTATACGAAGGTCTATGGGTTTATGTATACGTTTGTGTCATGAAGATTAATAATTTTATTAGATCCTAGATAAAGTTGGTTTCCATTCTGACTATCAAAATATTACAGCAGAATACTTTCGTACAAATAGTAAATTTCCAATGTTAGAAAAAGAAGTATCAACTCATATTTACGGATTATGTTATTGGGCTGTAACTAAACATCGTGCTGGTGATTATCGTATTTACTCTGTAAGCACTATACTCGATATATGGAAAAACGCTATGACAAATGCAGATGAAAAATTACAGCGTCAGACTACAATTCAAAACTCTTTAATGGATTTTTTGGATATTTATCCCCTTGGCTGTAATGGAATATGTGAAAAAGATGGTAAACTATTTTCACGTTTCATACCTATAAAATGAGAATATTATATTCGTATGGGATATTCTGTTATTATTCTTATCCGGTATGTTATTTTAGAATGCAATATAATTGCGGGATTATTTGGTGAACTTATTCGCAATGGACATTTTTCTCATCAACGTTATTTACAACGGTTGATCGCAAGGGGAGATGTTCTACATGAGAGAAGGACATCAGAGGTATTTCAATTCAATATTGTTGTTTGCTTAATCAATTTACCCTAATTTTCTTTACGTTAATTGTCAATATATTATTTATAGAGATCAAAAAGGCACCTGAAATATGTAAAATATTTCCCACTCTTTAATACAGAACTCCATCATTTAAATCAAAGACGGGTCATTTTACATAACGTTAATTGCAATGTAAGCTATTTGTTTTGTGTGTTCTGGTTAACTGTAATATTTACATGTTCAAATTATTTTATGATTGGATAGAACACTAACGATGAAGATGATTATGAATCTATGGTCATGAAGATAAAAGATAAGCTTCCATACATGTTTTTGAGAACAGGTTTTGTAAATTTATGTTCCTATTTATGATTATTGCTATGATTACTGATTGGTTTTCAACTTATTTATTGTTCATATTACACTATATTAGATGATGAGTTAGATAGGCCGAGAGTAGATGATCCAGTTTCTGATATGCACTTGGCATTAAATTTTGAACATGAAACAATAGAATTTATGCGGAATGTGACAAAATTTTGTCAGATAAAAGTAATACAAACGTGGCTTCTCCCGCAAGTGAAATCCTTCGTGCAAAATACCCCGTAAGTATTTTCAATTAATTTATTACATTTATACAGTGCACGACACTTAAAGACATCTAAAGTAAAACAGCCGCAGATTTATATAAAAAATAACTTTTATTTATTAAAATATATGTGGGGTTGGGAATTATGCGATATAATAAATATTATACCGAATAATTTCTAACTCTATATACAGTTCACCCTGTTAAACCGATCCTATCAAAATTGATAAGAAATCAATTCACCATGTTTGTTTCTTAAATAGTAATTAGACCTTTTAAATTGATTTGTTCATATATATTAAGCAGTTTTTATACAATTTAAATTCAAATTTTTAAAAAAATTGAAAAAAGAACAATTATTATGATTTTAGTCTTTAAATGTCATGCACGAATATTTCTGGTACATTTTATTTAATTCGCATATTTTTATAGTATTGGCCCAAACAATTGGCGTAATCCGACACAACCTGGGTCATCAATGTTAAATGCGCGTCAGTTTTCAACAATAGTCAAAGTTATTGAATTTGCAAAAGATTATAATTCATTATTAGATGTAAGTTATTATCTCGATAATAGTTCATTTTATTTAATAATTTGCGTCACCTATATTATAACAAGTTGTTGTATTGTAGCTTCTGCTGTGGGTTCTTGAAAACTCGATGGAAAGAAGCCTATTTCAATCGATAATTGATACATTACAACGGCACAAAATCGTTTGGGATGCTATGGGTAAATCAGAACAAGTGCTTGATGCACTTATGAAAAAGGTATAAAGATGCATTATATCTGTGTTATTTTCAATTTTTTGATTAAAAACTTTTTTTTTTTTTTTTTACAAACAATAGAACGATCAATTACGTGATAAGAGGGAAATAGAAGTATGTATAGTGGAATACTTAAGAAAGTCCACACACGAATTTATGAATGCTAAAAAGGGAAAAGTTCGTATCTTCCAAATATTATGCCTTTATTTTATTATTTTCATATATTAATTTTTATTTATTAGTTGGATCAAGATATACAATCACAAATGAAGGTCTGTAGATGTTTTGTCATTTTGTTGTAATTCGCAAGGAATTGAATTTTTATACCTTTCTTCTAGTCACAATTAACACAAGCCGTATCGCGTCATTATACTCGTTTTGATGCTGAAGCCTGCATTAGTATGAAACAATTTTTGAGCCGTGTCAAAGCTTTGAATACAGATCCACGTTTGTTTCAGTCAGATGCCGATGGATTATATAAAATATTCGAATCACATATAAACATTATAATTGAATACACTCGTAATTACACTGATGAAAACTCCACAGAGGGTAGAATAGTTATTGGAATTTTTGGTGATCTATTTAGAGATATTTGTGATAGAACAATAGATGGTCTTGATATGGTTTTCAAAAAATGGATTAAAAATAAAAGTCTTACTCGTGCAGATGAGGATAGCATTTTCGGGAGTGAAAATAATCTTTTACTGTTTTTCTTTGTAACACTCGTTTTTAGACATTTGATTGGCATGGAAACAATGTTAGAGAATCTCTGTGACAAGAGTCTAACACGTTTAGTTGAAAAATCGATGAACCAAAAGCAATTGGATTCAAAAGAAACAATCGAATGCAAGAATTTGGTGAACCTATTGAGATTATTACTTTTACAAGATGGTGATAATCATTCTATCAAGTTACCGTTGGGCACGATGGTTCGTTTGCTTGCTCTTTTTTCATGTATTCGTGCAATATTATTATATTTATGAGAATCTGTTATTTTATTAGGAAATTCAAGTGCTAAAATCTTATTGCGAAACATTATCTCATAATAACGAATTTATTGAAATAATCTCTGCTGTTTTCCAAAAACTTGCTATTGTTGAATATTTTATTGATTCTAAGGATCCGTTTGTGAAAGATCTTATACAATTAAGAGTCGACTTTTCTAGGATCGAGTGGTTCAGACAATTATGCATAAT